TTACTTTTGTTTTGTATCTGACTTGTACGACGTTTTTAATTAGAAAGTAATACATTTTGCATTTAAGCAAACACTTGCATACCGCTTTATGTACCACGATGTTTGGAGATTTTTAGTCTTTAATAAATTAGGGATTCTGCGTTAACACTAGCGCTTCTCAATTCTATAAGCTGTGTGCGAGTAAAATTATTGCTTATTCCTTTGATACATATCAGTGAAGTAGGAGTAGATTGAAAAGTTGAGGGGGGGGGAGGGAAAGAGTTTTGACCCTCCCCTTTGCAAATGTGTAATGCGGCTATGGTCCCCTTTCCCGGCTCCTACGCCCCTGCATTTATATATCCCCTCCACACCAAGAAAAAAAGCATACATACGTATTAACAAACAGAGACAGTCAAGGAAATATGTTTTGCCTCCTCCATTTTGAAAGTGGGGGTGGGAATTTTCCCCTTCCCCGGCTCGTAACCACCCTCCTCCAAAAAAGAAAATAAACAACAAAAATATGAATAACAGATTTAAGATATTTAATAATTAAACGATGTATGCAAATAAAATAAGAAAGAGTAATAAGACAAACGTAAATACAACATGTATAAATATTGTCGAATTCAATAAAATAAAAAACAAAATATATAAATATACAAAAAGCTGATTCTCTGTTTTATGGGGATAACATTCAATAAAAACTAATTTATTTTGTTGCGTTTTAAATTTTTCGATCCACTTATTTTGCAAATCAATTTCATTTTTTGATTGAATTTCATGTTCATTACAGTAATGCGATATTCGAGAAGACCCAAATATTAATCACGTGACACAATATTTTTTTTTCATTTTCTATTCCTGTATCCAAAATGGGTGGACGTTTATTGACGTTGAGACTGATTTAAAGCTATCATAGTTCGACTTAAGGAAATTCCTTGAACATGAAGAGGAAATGGGAAATCCTCCGTATAGTTCGATTTAGACGATTTAAAAGATATCAGCTTAACTGCTAAGCAAACCCACGAGAGGTTTGTACATGGAAACATTTTGTGGTTGCAGTTACTCTTGCAGTCAGTAACTTCGTAGACACTTTATTTAATTTCAGCATTTTGAGACATAGTTAGCTTTTTTATAATTATAATTTTTATGAACACTTTTCATATAAATTATATTTATAAAACAAGATAATTAGGTCACAAGGTGTACGATAAAGTGCCTATGAACTCACTGAATGCACGAGTGACTCTATTCATAAAAATTGTCCGTGTAACAACCGTTATTGTACTGTTTTTCTGTAGCTCTGCGGGGGGGGGGGGGGGGGGGGGCAAAGTCGTAAAAGTTGTAATACATAGTTATGTAAATTTTAATAGAATAACTTAGTTACATCTTCAACGACATGCTTGATTCAAATTTATCAATCTTGTCAAAATTGATAAGACATATCTGGATCCACATAAAAAGGACAAAAACGGGTATATCGGTTCCGGTAAAAGTGTCTGTTACATTACATATAATCAAATAAAGATATTGAATTTTCAGGCGCCAACGGAGATAAGAGTTTATGCTCTTAATTTTTAAAGCGAAATGTCCTGTAGATACAGGGTTTTCTCTCCCCCTAATCCTAATTTAAGCCCATGTGATTTGCTTTGTAGAAATATCAACTTAGGTTTATTGTTGAATTTGGGATTTTTATCTGTAGGTTTATATACAGTATTTATTTATATGAAATGATGTACTGTCGTTTAGTACTGTTTTGGTTGGTCGTATATAATCTGTCCTTGCGTATGTTAGTCGAAAAACATTTATGTTAATATTCGCAACGACCTGAAAGGATATTCAAAAGAGTCATATGGAAGCATTCACAAAATACAATCTGGAAGGGACAGACACATGTTTGTTATGTGGTTTTTATTATTTGTCGAATATACATTCGTAAACTAGGATATCAAAAGGTTATTATATAAAAAAAAATGCATGTATAGAGTACTGAATTAGATTAAGATTTTAGATAATGATCTTTTAAATATACATGCAATACACTACCGAATACTTGTTAAATACGATGGTATGTTATATAATTCCCGCACAGGCGAAATAGTTCTGTAAGTGTAAAGGTATTTTTTTTATCTGAACATACTTTTAGTAGATTTTATTGTGTTAACTCGTCTTTCCCCTCACAAACATTGCATAAAGCCAAACGGATTTAATTCAATTGTAAGTGAGTCGTCCTTCGATGTTTGCACATTAAACTTTGTGTTAAAGTCATATGAAACGAGTGTCTTGGATGAGTACAATGTTATCAAAAAACTATTGAACCAATTCACGCATATATACAAACTAATTTTTGTATGCATTTGTTATTTACATTTATGACAAACTCATAAAGTAAATCGACAAAAACATTGCACTCGCTGATTGTTGATAGAAAATTATGGCTGATAATTGACTTTCGAATTTTGGTGACGACACAGAATCAAAGAGAACGTGAAAAATAAGTGCGAAGATAGATAGAGCGATGCTTTTTTTTATATCCCAGGCGGTTACATTTGTTGTTTAAACTCTCTCATAAGACTTGTTATCTGGGTTTGTGTATTAATTTTTTTTTTCACAATCAATGAACACATTCTAGCTTCTTATTTTGTAAATCTTTTCTATCATCATATTTTCCATCCGCACTTACGCAGTGCGGTTGCCGAAGGTCTAACGACAGGTCTAACGATAGGTCTCATTGTTAAGGTCACTACTTACGTAAAAGCCAGCAGCGAATTAGAGTACGGGAAGACAATAATTCAATAGCAGTAAATTTTGAAGATTCTGCTATGATAAAGGATTTTCTTTAAAAAGAGAGTCTATGTAAACACGTGTTATTTCTGTGTCATTTGGTCTCTTGTGGAGAGTTGTCTCATTGGCAATCATACCACATCTTCTTATTTTATATTTTTAGTAAAATTTAGCCATTCAAACTTTATTTTTAAATTTGAAGTAGCATGACTTTAAATTGTGAGTCAAAGGTCAAGTTTACACTTCAAAAAATTGAGAGAAACAGATCTTTTTACATACACAGGAAAGTAGTAAAGTTTAATCAATTAACGTATTTCCGAGATATTTATAATAATCAATCAGTGACGGGAAATTAACTGTTGTATAAATATATCAATGATATCATCTACTGCGAAATACAACAAAGAAGACACCATCCCTTTCGAAAAAATTAAGGCTTCAACTATTTTATTGAATTTTTTCAAATGACAGAAGACAGAAACGATGAAAGCGAGAGAATGTTGGATTATTTTTTTCGTGCAATTTTTTTTTTGAGAAAATATTATTATATATTGGTTAATATGTTAAAATTTCTTAAACACAATCTATTATTCAGCGGAAAACATCCTTTTAACTGCATTTTACACATTGAGACCACCCTTTATATTTTTCCTGTTAGATAAACAAACACACCTGTATTTCGCCTTTTATGCAGAAGACAGATAAATGTGCTCATTATGATGGGGAAAATAATGATATTGGTGCAATCAAAAGCATAGAAATTCAAATTTAATAAACGTGGCCTTTGTTCAACAAATACATGTAAATTCGATGATAAATGCTTACACTGTTGGAATATGTTTTTCAATGAAAGCATTACTGGAATAAATCATCATCAAGCACGTTTTCCCAACATTTCTGTAACAGAAAAGGGTGTTTTTATTATGAGCATAAATGGAAAGGATCGACATGAAAGTATATATTTTGAGCATGAAAAACCCATACCAACACGGAGGAAAAGATGTTTTCCTTCGGTTTTATTATTTTCCTGAATTCTTTGCATGTTTATTGAAATAATATAAAAGAGCATAGAGTTTCACACAAAGGACAAGGTTCGGATTAGGCCAAATACGGCCTTATATTTCAACTTGATCATAAAATTTCAAATTGGTCATAATTTGGTTCTTAAATGGATCTATTTCAAATGCCATACTACTAGGTTAAACAAATCTCTTCATAAGAGTACACTCTAGGCTTCAAAGTCAGCACAGTTTGGATATATTGTCAAAAAACGATGATTTTGTGCATTTTTCGAACCTAAAGCTTGAGGAAACCCTTGGCCGCAACATAGGATCCAAAATGTTCTGTAGCCAAAATGTTCTGTAGCCAAAAGTTGCCAATGATGATATTGAATCCCTAGACACAAAAATTTTCTGGACCAGGGTTGGCGGCCAAAGTAAATAATGTTAAAAACTGTTAATAATTACTGAAAATGTGACCAAAACTGACGTTACATCACAAATAATGCGTACCTGAGGAATCATTTCTTTGTCATTATAAAGTGATGTTCCAAAAAGAAGTTATTTTGTATTGATAGCTATATCACAACTTTTTCTAAATGAAATTTGTTGTATTTTGGCTTGATTAAAAAAAAACATCAACATCTTAGGGACAATTTCCACATTTCGTGAACTTACTCCAATATGATAACTTCAAAAATGAGCATACTATTTCCCACACATTTTATATCTGATTAACAATAGGTATGGTGAAAGATTAAACAAACACGCAAAATATATTTGTTAAAACCAGAACAATAATTATAATGTCTGTAAATAATCGTTTATAACCAACGAAAATTATCAACGACATAATTATTAATACTAAACATTTATAACTCACCCATCACCGACAACAACGCATTTAACATGCCGCATTTCTAAGTTTATATTATCGACAAATAAATTTATAACTTCTGTTTGTTCCACTTAAAACATATTGTCATTTTTGATACTTTGTTTTAACGTTTAACTTGATTATAACATATATTGTAGGGCTTCCGGGATAAACTGCAAAGATTTCTGATAATACATGTACACGTACTGTTTGTTCCACTTAAAACATATTGTCATTTTGATACTTTGTTTTAACGTTTAACTTGATTATAACATATATTGTAGGGCTTCCGGGATAAACTGCAAAGATTTCTGATAATACATGTACACGTACTTCTAAATATAAGCAATTTTAACGTCAAATGATAGAGATCAATTTTATTAAAACAGGAACCAAATAAAGCCAACAGTAGTATACCGGTGTTCAAAAGTCATAAATCGATTGAGAGAAAACAAATCCGGGTTACAAACACATAGCTACAGATCAATAAATATTTGAATAAATAAATCTAAATTTTGAAGTCATATAATTTAGCCATGCGTAAGATATACCTTATTCACTATTATATCTTTTTAATGTACATGTCATATAAATATCCCTGAATTTAGATGGTACAAGGCACTTACAAAATGATTATCAAGTATCCTCAATCATTAAGGAAAGAATCTTATTATTACCACAAACTACATACATTCCACATATTTAAATTGCAGACATATTTATTATTGCGGTTATCGTTATATACATCATTTTCCTGTTGTTAGATTGTTGTTCAGGTGCAAATATTTTAACAAAATTCAGAACAAATAAACAGTTTATTGGGTCTAAAAAAGGGATAACCGAAGGAATGGACAGATAGTGTAGCTTGTAGATTGTCATCACATTTGAACTCAATTCAACGGAAATAAGTTCACAATATTTGCATTCAACATTCATAACATTGATTTTTTCGTATTTGAATTCACTTAATTTGCAAAAGTCATTATTCCATGGTTTTTCAGAACAAGCACTTCACTGACAGGTAATATCGGAAACTAACTTTTTTCAAAATATCGGACTTTTAACAGTGCTTACTTTCTGCAAATGATTTGAATAAACAAATACCCAAAATATTATAAAAATTCTATGTTTACCTTGTGAGAGTGTATATATTAAGGGGAAATAACAACTCATCACAACCGTCACATAATATTTAAATGGTGCTGTTGTACCTTTAGTTTTAAAAGCCATACTGTCGTTGTAGTTCAATAAGTTGATCATGTTGATGTGATAAAAGATGTTGATAAAAGATGCTGAGTAAATCATTAGTCTATATGAATAAAAAGAGATGGGAAGTATTCCATTTGTGGATATGAAATAAAGGAGATGACTGGTAAACATCTATGAAACAACAAGTCTCCCTTCTTACTGTTTCTGAAGCATGACCATGTGCTAGTAAATGTAACAGTTTCCGAAAATATACGTAGACTGCAAATTAATTCATGTGATTTAGTTAATGTAAATATTGTTCCGTTCTTGCCGTACATATTAACCATTCCAGATGATAACTTAATTGATTATAGACTGTATGAATTTTATAGAAATTAGGAATTTGATAAATATCTCATTAATACAAAAAAACATATCCAAAAAAAATGTCTCTAATAAAAATTATATGTTTACCTTGTGAGAGTGTTTATATTAAGGGTAAGTAACCGCTAATCACATCCGTCACATAAGATTTATATGGTGCTATTGTTCCCTTGGTTTGAAGGTAGCACGGTAGTATTTGCCATCCAGAATTTAGGTTGCTCTTTTGTGTACCCTACTTAAGTCAATGTAACTGAACAGTGTGATTGGACAAAAAATACAGTATCAACTGAACATACTTTCCCAAACTGAGGGATGAATCAGGTGTAGAAAAATATGAAATAATTTTACATACAGGTGAAAATGAATTTTTGAGAATTTTTTAAATTTTGTATTCACTGCTTGATAAATGACCTAAAAGCACTAGTGGCCTTAGGTTTTTAAAGATATAAAAAAAAGTAAACGGTCATGATACATATTCAAATTCATTTCTGAATAGTATAATGAAAGTACTTCAGTTAACTGTTTATGTAGAATTTTTTGCAGTGTTAGAAAGTGGTGAAAATTCTCAAAAGGCTATCATTATCCCTTATGGGCCAGGAAATACTACCGTGCCCCCTTAAAAGCCGTACAATAATTCTAGTTTAATAAGTTGATACAATAAAAGATGTTGATAAAAGATGTGGAGTAGTCTATGAATGAAAAGAGATATAAACAATCAAACAAGCAAACACATTTTTTATATCAGTTTATGGCTTTACGCTAGACGTATATTTAATTATAAAATTGTGATTAACTTTACAAAAAATGTCTTCTATTTTATTTATTTATCAACATTGAAACGTAATCGTGAAATATTTTCCGTCTACACGAAACAGTGCCTATTTTACGATACCAAGCCGTACATCTAAGTTTCTAGAAATACTGATCAACGTGAAAAGTTGTAAATTTTCTCTGGCGTCAAAGCTAATATTTCGCGTTTAAATGTGTCACCGGCAGATGATCATGTTGATTGTCTGATTACAGACCACTTCCACTTCCCACAACAGCAAATAATGTCTACTGTCCGTCATTTATCAGAAGTTCTAGGTTAAGGGAAATTACTTAAAAACCAATTGTACGTTTGGATAAGCTTATTTCAATAAGTTTCCAAGTAGCAAAGATTGTCTTTTTATAAATGCTTTAAATATTTTGTTGAAACTGCATGACTTTTCCAATTGCATTACTGATTCTATAAAAACTAATTTCCCTTGCCCTAGGTTTACTCCCTTAATTGGAAGATGGTCCATTGACCTAGATTTCATTTTACACGAGACACCCATCGATTATTAAGAGAACAAAGATAAACTAGTCGAAACATGTCAAAAGAAAAACAGGTCATTGCAATATATTTGTACTATCTTGTTGTGGTGTTTTGTTCTTTAATCAGGTAATAAACTTCCAATTGTATCTTTAATACTGTACACAATTAAAACATATTATATAATTCTGAGTAATTTTCACAACAAAATGCATGATCTGTGTTGTGGTTTGTGCTTAGTTGCAAATAACGCAGCCCTTGCAGCCTCCTCAAATACAGATTGAAGCCCTTCCTGAGTCATTGCAGAACATTCTATATATTTTACGGCATCTATTCGTTTTGCTAAAGATTGTCCCTCACTGAATGTTATTGGATGACTATTTTTCTCCATATGTTTTGAATTTCCTGGTCCTTGTCGAATGTCGAGTTTTGTGCCAACTAAAATAATTGGCGTTCTTGGGCAGTGGTGCCTTATTTCAGGAATCCACTGTAATGAAAAACATTGTGACTTCCATTTTTTAACCAAGAATACTAATTCATTTGTTTAAATCAATAAACATGGATTCACCTGACTTCATCATGTGATTGGACATGTGGTTATCTCTGTCCACATCCCGAGCCACGTTTTTCCAACGCTTGTTCCGTATATATTTTAATAGTTTGTCGTGTATTTGATAAATGTTGTTGATAAACTGTTCTGGATGTGTTTAGTTGTTAGAATTATAAAAAAGTAAATGCTGCAGATCTACATTGTGTATCTTGCTGTGTAAATTTCTATTTGACCGTACGTATGGAAATTATTCTAATCCAACAATGATATTTCTATTTTATTAGAACATAACCAGGTACTTTTGCAATATTTGAATAATGAGAAAAAATTGTTTTTCTCAATTTTGATGTTACTGTAATTCACAAAAATATTACTATTATGCTGCTGGGACCTTGCACATTTCTTAATTGTGAGCGAACCGAGCTTATGGATGAACGTGTTTGTGAAGAAAAAGGTAAATATAACCCTATAGGCTGCCAATTGTAAAGATAGCATGTTTCACAAACCACGCCTCCTTAGGGAATATACTTAATATTCATATATATTTTGTGTTGTTTCCATACTGGTTCCCAGATATGATCGCCATATTCATATCATAGAGACATAATTTTGGAATTTTGCCAGTATAAATTCAGTTGGATACCGGTCAAATTGAAATCCCAGGAAGACTCAAACCAAAGGGAGGGGTAGCACAAATTTTTTAGTATAACTTTTTGATGTTCGAGTCATATAAATGTTGAAAATACGGCGCACAGCCCTATGTTTTGACCTTTAAGAATAAATGGTAGTGCATGTGAAATTTACATTCCAGAATTTTATTTTCTTTCTACGAAACTTCATAGTAAAAATGGCTTAGTTTTAGCCGTAAAAAGGGTTAAAACGGGAAATTGCACTGTCTATATTTACAGAAGTGCAACTGTTATACGATGCCTTCCCAAAAGTTTACATGGTTATAAGTGCAACTATATTTTCATCATGGTTCCTCTTATGTCGCATGTGTCTTTGGATACATAACATGTTTACGTGATAAAGCGTTATGTAAAAGTGTAACTCGACACAAATCTTTTCTAAACAGGTCCAAGAACTAACATTTAAGCCAATGCCTAGTCGATATCACATTCAGTAAAAAAAAACTCATCAAAGGTTACATGAATGTGAAAAGTTAAATCTGACTTATTTCTTTAAAAAGTGTGTGTGTTGTCACAGCATTTCTGAAAGTAGTTATTGTATACCTCTATATATCACTTCCGGTTCTTATAATCCATGGCTTCCAAATATTCTGATCTGAGCGTTCCTAATGAAGGTTTATCCAGAAAGGCGCTTCAGACGCATGAAATTTATAGAGTTTTTTTTTTTAAATTTTTATGAATGTATATCAGAGTGAAAATAATTTTTCGTCGATCTTTCGCAAAAACAGCAAAACATTACATTTTTAGGAAGTTGCATATAAAATACTGTAGCTTAATAATGATTTTTAAAATTTTAATTCTCTATTAACCGTTTACAAATTCTGCACGCTATTTAAAGCTATATGCAACACGGTATCAATAATTAAATAGATCTACATAGCACAACACACACTAACATCTATATTCGATCATTTTATTTTGTACAAAACTGGCGAAAAAGTGTTCACTGAGAATACGAATGATTACATCTCCCGTGAAATTAGTCTGAGGTTCAATTATTTGTCAATAAAATTGGTTTGTGTATCGCATAAAACCAAGAGCTAGAAAAAGAAAAAGCACATTAATTCCCCGTTTTCTCCTTTTGCAGAAATATGACAGTCCATGTATTGCAATTAAAATAAATCAGAAAAAAACTTAATAGATTAAATAGGGGAAGGTATTACAGACGGATGAACTGACCAAACGAACGGACACAATGATCACAAGACACCTTGTCTTCGCTTAGTTGGGATTAACAAAAGTATCTGTTATTACTTACTTTGTAAAGTATGTTATCAAAACTTGATCGATAAACTAGTGAAAAACAAGCAAGGAATACATCCTAAAAATAGAAGAATAGTTATGAAGAGATATTTTTTAAACTGTTTTTAGGTTCACCTGTATATGAACATAATAGTCATGTTCATGTTTCATCTAAATTCCACTTGATCATGTATTTCAGGTGATGTTTGCATGGTAGAATGAGATGATTAACATATTAACGTTTGCGGATGTTCAATTAAAAATCCACGAAGCTTATTGATTTTTTTTGTGATCGCTATGAATACCACTCATCAGTTAATGTAGTGCATCAAGTTCTATTTATCTTTAGCAATAAGGTAAGGATCATTTATCTTTTGTTTGCGGATTTTTTAAAAATAAATTGTTGAATTCTTAACTCTTTGAATAAGATTTTTTTAAAGTTTGATAGGGAGGTAAAACATGGTTTTTAAAGTTGAAAAGTGTCAACAACAAAAGATAATGAACGCGTCATTCATTTAAAACATTATGTTTGCGTATGTTCTCGAAAAAAAGAGTGTATACAATTAAAGTTGAGAAAAATGTTTGGCTGCAAAAATAGGATTTGTTTGTCACTGAATGTCAAAATAAAAACAAGATAGACAGTTCTTTAAAAATATAAAATAAACCCACCAAGATTGTTACAATTACACGAATGAGACTTAGATGAGTTGGTGGAGACATGCTTGTTCATTAATTACGAAGTGAATAAATGGTTATTTAAACTGATGTCACGGTGTTGAAAGTGTCACAGACGACATAATGATTGACCGTCTGAAATATGTGTTTAGTTGGTGACCATGGATAAAATCTGTTTGTTGTTCGTACACCACAGTCTTCCTTTTGTTATTGATGGCATCACATAATGCAACATCTCGCCAAGTTGCGGTACGTCAGTAGGGACTAAAATATTCGCATATTTCCCCAAGAGCATTCGACTACACTTACTGTGTTTTGAAGTGTTTGTGTCTCGCTATTATTTGTTTTGTTTTCTCTGTTAAACGTTGGAGGCTCTATGTCTTTTGTCTTTTTTCTTTTGACAGTGCGTTGTCTTTTTTTCTTTCGACAATGAGTTGCTTTTTTTTCTTTTGACAATGCGTTGTCGTTTTTTTCTTTTGACAATGCGTTGTTTTTTTTTGTTTTGATAATGCGTTGTCGTTTTTTGTTTTGACAATGCGTTGTTTTTTTTTGTTTTGATAATGCGTTGTCGTTTTTTGTTTTGACAGTGCGTTGTCTTTTTTTCGTTTGACAATGCGTTGTCTTTTTTAATTGTGGTTTTTGATTGCCTATTTAGTATCTTTTTTCAAATTATTTAAGGTTTTTCTATTAAAACGTATTATTTTATTGGTTGCAATGCATTACCGTGATTTCCCAGTGAAATAAAAACCGATAATCACATGTGAAATAAACTCGGTTATTTCACTCCTCTGACGTCATACAAGGTGTTGTCAAGACGTTGTCGATGACGTCGCATCAAAGCAAATAGTGAATGCGTAGAAAAAAGATATAGTTCCTTTTATTTCTACTTTAATTCCATTACAAAGCCAATTGTCAATGTAATAAAAAAAAATAACTAATCAAAGAATTCAAATATCGAAAAAAAACTCGTGAAGGAACAACACTGATAATTTAATCATGCGCTACGCGCATTCGTGAATTACGGTCACTCGTTGAATATTTTCTTTATTTGAGTTCTTCGATTAGTTATTCTATAAATCCACAAAATAACAAACGCAGATTGTGATCCGAATTATCACACGTCATACCACCGGTCTTGTTTGTATATCCCCATTCACTAGAACTTTTTCATTCGAACGAAAAATCTAGACAGACCAGAAAACTTACCGTTTGTGGATATGACAATGGACGGAATCGATCGTAAGTTTCTTGGCCTGCTGTATCCCATAATCCTAACCCTACATAAATGTCATCCACCTTTACAGTTGTTTCATAATTATCGAATCTAAAACAAATATAATTAATATACATTTTCACTTTCATGTAAAAATAAAAAAATGTGGTATTGTTGCCAATGAGAAAAATTTCCACCAGAAATCAAATGATGTAGATGTTAGCAACTATATGTCACAGTACAGACTTTAACGACGAGTAAAAACTCATACCAAATAGCAAGCAATTAAGCATCCGGACATGACATATGTGAAACAATACAAATGAAAAAAAAATAATGTTACCATTTAACAAAAGTTTTAAAAAAATAAAATAATATTCCAAATATATAAAGTTGCAATGAAATTCAGAAGTTTGTATATTTTTGAAAAGTTGCTGAATTTCAACTTTGCACTTGAACTTGTCTCAGTAAAGAGTCGTCATTCACATGTGTGCGCATGTCATGTATTTTTACAAGCACAGTTAGAATTACTAAACGAATGTACACAACTTTACAACATGTTTTATGCTTCAGAGGAGGATAAATGTTTACGATTACCTATAAACAATAGTAAAATTTTCCACTGTTGCCCTGAAATTGTTTTTGATTTTTGACAGAATATGGCATTAGGTACAAGAGCGGATTTTGGCCTAGTCTACAAATACTAAAAATCCTCGATTTTGTTAGATCGTCATTTTCTCTTATTTTAGCCCATCGACAACATTAGAAGTTATTTAATTTGGTTTCTATAACTCAAGAATCGGGAATGTTAAAATAGCTTCCTTTTGTTTGATGTGAAGCTACCTGATTGTGCAAATGCTACAGGTTTGTACATGCGATATCAACCATTAAAAGATGTACAGTTTTTGTACTCTTCCCAAATAAATTTGTATGTGAACCGCCAATGGAAAAAATATATATCCCATGATGTAAATAACATTTGAGATTTGAATGCTGTTGTTATGTTAACATTAGCTATACTGTATGCTAACAGCTTTGAAACCTAGGATATATACCGCAGTAATTAAATTCAGTGGTAGGTTTTATCATCTCATGGCCTCGAGCATCCACGAAGAGACATTTATTGTCGAAATGCACATCTGATGCAGAAAAATGGGTACCGTTAATGTTATTACTACCACTGGGTCGATGGCTTTGCAGGTGGACTGTTTGTCTCCACGGGTTTCACATGCCCAGTAGCCAGTACTTCGGTACTGCCATGCAAATACGGATTTTGTCATAGTTAAAATTTAGCAAAGTTTAGCTAGCTATCAAACCAGGTTTAATCCACCATTTGACAAGGGACTTTCCGTTTTGGATTTTCCTTGGAGTTTGGTATTTTTGTTATTTTACTTTTTGTTGTTATACAATTTTGGAAATTATGTTTACATTTGTTATTTCGGGGAAGTTATTAGCTTGCAATGTGGTATGTGTTTTCTTATTGTTGAAGGCCGTACGGTGACCAATATTTGCTGTGTCCTACCTGATTTGGTTTCTGATTGAAAGTCACTGGCAATCACATATTTTTTTATCTTTTAGTGCTACCAGCATCAACAGTGGTTAGGTTAAACCGGATTTTTTTTACATGTTCTTGTACCTGTAAACATTCCCTTTTGCCTATTGCATTGTATTTAGACCATAGGATGATAAACATTTTGAAACAAAATGTTTTACATTAATGACGAAGACATACTATAAATTGATAAAAATACTGCATTCGCTGATTGTTGATAGAAAATTGTGGCTGATAATTAACTTCTGAGTTTTGGATGATGATGATAATGGATGGCAGCTTAACATCCAGCGGCAAATGAATATGCTCGGGTTTTGGTGACGAAGATTGCCGATCGTTACATTGATGAACAAACAACGCAGAATCAAAGACAACGTGAAAAATAAGTGAGAAAATAGATCGAGCGATTTTTTTTCTTTCTTATTTCCTATTATTATTTCCATTTGTTAATTGATTTTGTCATAAAAGTTGTTAAATGAATTGGTGTAAAAATGTTTCTTTCAGAATAAATGAATACATTCTAACTTTCACGTTTGTTAATCTGTTTTCACTCGCTCTTGCACAGTGTGGTTGCCGAAGTTTCAACGACAGGTCTCGTGGTTGAGATTACTGAATACATTAAAACCGTCGGTAAACTAGAGTACAGGAAAACAATAATTCAATACAGTACATGGAACAGTGTTTCATAGTAAACCTTAGCCATTGACAAGTATATAAATAAAGGCAATAGTAGTATACCGCTGTTCAATAGTCATAAATCGATTAAGCGAAAACAAATCCGGGTCACAAACCAAAACACATCAACTTTAAGAGGAGAACAACGGAACAACAGAAACACTAAACTGCAACAAAAACAAACGCCAACATACATAGAAACGGACTATTTGGTAACAACTGCCATATTCCTGACTTGGTACAGGACATTGTAAGAAAAAATGATGGGTTGAACCTGGTTTTATGGCTAGCTAAACCTCCCGCTTATATGGCAATGTTAAAAAGACCGCTAAAATGACAACATTACTTGACAGGAATACAGTACAAATAAACGCATGAACACTCAGGACAGAGAAACACATAATTAAAGAATATAATAGTACATTACAACGTGTGAACCACAGAATAACAACGGACACCTCCCATGAATCATCGACAGCACACCAGGAAACCACAAACATATTATAAACTAGGCGTAACACGAATGTATCAACGCCACAAAAAGTGACGTATTTTTTGTGACGTTTATATTATCAAAGGTAAATTTCTAAAAATATAATAGATTTATTTTATTGTAGACACATACAAGAATATAAGATGAGTTTGTAATTGTGTTATTTTATGTATTTGCTAACCATGTTTGAACATATTCAACACTTTTTTAATTTGAAGTATTGTGATTGTAAGGTTTTGAGTCAAATGCACTTCAATAGTTTGAGAGAAACAGATCTGATTACATGCACAGGAAATCAATTAACGTATTTCCGAAATTTTTTTTTATATAGATCAATCATTGACGGGCAACTTACTGTGGTACAAACATACTCATGATATCATCTACTGCAAAATACAACACAGAAGATACCTTACTTTTTGAAGAAATTAACGCTTCAACAATATATTGTAAAAGCGAGTTAATTTTTGATTATTTTCTTCGTGCACATTGTTTTCTTTTAGAACTAGTTTTTCACCCTTTATATTTTTCTTGTTATATAAACAAACAATCATGTATTTCGGCTTTTTGAGGACGAATGAATGTGCTTATTTTGAAAAAATATTTATGATATGGGTGCGAGCAAAAGCAAAGAAATCCAAATTCAATCAACAAGGCCTTTGTTCAACAAATACATGTACAATCGATAATAAAAATGAATGGGTGCTTACATTGTTGGAATATATTTTTCGTCGAAACCATTACTGGAATAAACCATCAACAAGCATGTTTTCCCAACAAAGCTGTAAGAGAAAAAGGTGTTTTGATTATGAGCATAAATTGGAGAAGGATCGACATGAGAGTATATACTTTGAGTATGGAAAACCTTTACAAACATGGATGAAAAGATGTTCGATCTTGATTTTTATTTTTTTTCGAAATATTTACATCTTTTATAAAATAACATAAAAGAGCATTTAACAGACAAATTTATATTTGAAAAAAAACATATTATTTCCTTTACATTTGTTTATCTGATTGTCTAAATGTTTGACGAAAGGTTAAACAAACATGCAAACTGTATTTGTTAAAACTATAAAAACGTTTATTACATCTGTATATAACCGGTTTATGAACAGCAAGAATTATCAAACATACAACTATAAATAGCAAATATTAACTCACCCATCACCAACAACAACACATTTAACATGCTGCATTTTCAAGTTTAAATTATAGAGTAACAAAAAAAGAATAACAAAAATACTGAACTTCAAGGCAAATTCAAAAAGAGGAAGTATATCTGTTCCACGTCAAATTTATTGTCATTTTGCGTACTTTGTTTTAACTTGAAAGTAACATATATTGTAGATCTTCCGGGATTCACTACAAAGATTGCTGATAATACATGCACACATACATCGTTAAACGTGAAATTAAAGAGATCGATTTGATAAAAGCAGGAACAAAACATAGATAAAGATAAATATTTTGAAAAATAAATCTAAATTTTGAAGTCATATAATTTAGCCATGCGTAGGAGGTACCTTTTTCACTATTATATCTTTTAAATGTACATGTCATATAAATATCCCTGAAATTAGATAATACAAGGCCATATCAAAATGAATATCAAGTATCCCCTATCATTAAGGAAAGAATCTTATTATTACCCCGGGCTACATAAATTGCACATATTTAAAATGCAGACAGACTTATTATTGCGTTTATCGTTATATTCATCATTTCCCTGTTGTTGGATTGTTGTTCAGTTACAAATAATTAAACCAAATTCAGAACAAATAAACCAAATAAACCCAGTTGATTGGATCTGACAAACAGATTACCGAAGGAATGGGCAGACAGTGTTGATTGTAGTTTGCAATCATATTTGACCTCAATTCAATGGAAATAAATTCACAATAATTGCTTTCAACATTCATGACATTGATTTCATAGTTGAAAACACTAAATTATCCATGTAATCAAAGACATTATTATTAATAGCAAACATTTACTCACCCATCACCGACAACAACGCATTTAACATGCTGCATTTCTAAGTTGATATTATATAAACACACTTAAAATATATATTGTCATCTTCGATACTTTGTTTTAACTTTTAACTTGATGATAACATATATTGTAGGTCTTCCAGGATTCACTACAAAAGATTGCTAATAATACATGTACACGTACTTCTAAATATAAGCAAGTTTATTTGAAATGAAAGAGATCAATTTTATTAAAACAGGAACTAAACGTAGTTATAGATAAATATTTTTTGAATAAATAAATCAATATTTTGAAGTCATATGATTTAGTCATGCGTTGAAGATACCTTTTTTTCACTATTATACCTTTTTAATGTACATGTCATATAACTATCCCTGAAATTAGGTAGTTAAAGGTCATAACAAAATGATTATTAAGTATCCCCTATCATTAAGGACAGAATGTTTCATTAATACCCCACGCTACAAACAATCCACATATTTAAAGTGTAGACAGATTTATTATTGCATTTATCATTATATTCATAATTTCCTTGTTATTGGAGTTTTTCCGTTACAAGTATTTAAACTAAATTCAAAACAAATAAACCGACAAACAGTTGACTGGATCTGACAAAGGGAATTCGGAAGGAATGGGAAGATAGTGTAGATTGTAGATTGTCTTCACATTTGACCTCAATTCAACGGAAATACATTTACAATAATCGCATTCAACATTCATGACATTGATTTCATAAATGTATTGACTTAATTTGCTACAGGAAATATTCCATGTTTTTTCAGAACAAGCATTTCATTGACGGTTAATATCAGAAACTTACTTTTCAAGGTTTTGGACTTTTAACAAATTCTTTCTACAAATGGTTTAAATAAACCAATACCCAAAATGTAAGTTTAACTGTACAAAATGTCTCTAATAAACATGTGCCTTATGAGAGTGTGTGTACTAAGGAAAAATAGCCGCTAATCACAACTGTCACCCAAGATGTATATGGTGTTGTTGTTCCCTTTGTTTTAAAGTCCGTACTGTAAATTCTAGTTCAATAAGTTGAAAATTCGTTTGATGTGGTGGAGCTTTTGATATTGCCATTTGTTAAGGGACTTTTTGTTTTGAGTTTTCCTTGGAGTTCGGTATTTTTTTTTCTTCTATGAATCAGCAAGTCTACCTACTTCCTGTTTCTGAAACATGACCATGTGCGAGTGACTATAACAGTTTCTTTAAACTTTAAAAAAAGTGGGGGTATATTGTATTACCTCTCTCTGTCCGTCCATCCATCCGTCCGTCCATCCATCAATCCGTCAGTCCATCAGTCTGTCCATCCGTCTTTCTCAAGAAATACAATACAAGTATTTCTGAAATTTGGTTTCAGGGTTTATATAAGTCAGTTATACCATGTGATGCGTTTTCAGATTGATCACTCAACAACTTCCTGTTTATCGTCAAGTATTGGGGCTAGGGGTATCATCAGTGAGCAGTAGCTCACACTTTTACTTGTTTCATTTTTTTCAAAGGTTTAGATTTTGGCGTTTTCTTGTTATACAGAATAACAATTCCAGTTGACGTCTAAATTGATTCTAGACTGTATGAATCTTATAGAAATTAGGGATATGATAAACATCTCATAAATACAACCAAACAATCATATTCAAAACAAACAAACAATTAAAAGCCAGATCTGACCTATAAAACTTACCATGTGATAAGCAATTAAGCATATTTGGAATGAGGGGTGGAGCTAAGTTATAAATATCACACACATCATCTGTTGACATAACAACACATGGCTAAACTCAGTTTTATCAGTGGCAATAATACAAGGTTATACAGTATAAAATTCCAATCAATGAAATAGACAAGGAATAAGTTTTTAAATTTACCTTTTAATTATTCTGAATATTAGACTTCAGTGAAAGAAAATAATAAATAAATCAAGTACAATTACATATCAACTCCAACTCTGTAAATTGTAATTAATTATTGTTCCCTTTCCCTTTATTTTGTCTTTTCTTTTTGTATATATCGTTAATATAGCGAGACCAGATTTTATCTCTAAATTTATACGTTGCTTTTTTGTAGTTTTTCTTTCCCTTTTTACTCCGTGGTCTCCTATGATCATTGAGATGGGACACTGATGTATAATCACGATCAACGTTTTCGTTCCAATGACACACGGCTAAGCTATTCCTTGCATTGTACTGTAAATCCCCAAAAGAAATTCTCTTATTTTGATAAATGTTTATTACATTATTAAAACTTTCAAAATAAAAAGTGTCTCTGCCAAGAGTGTAGTCATTTGCATATTTGTAAATATTCGATCCGAGGATAGCATTCACAAGTAGTTTTTTAGCTACTGGATCCGAAATCACTATCCGCGAAGGTTCATAATTAGTATCTTTCTGGCATCTAGAACTTTCAATACAACCAGTATGGATATTTTTGTAATGGTCTACAATATTCAACAAGGACGATTTCAACATTTCTTTCTGTTGGTTACAATTTCTCATGCACCAATGTACGTGTGTTGCCACTGGCTCTACTTTATCATGTTTATCACTCAACTGAAAAGACCACGTTTTGCCTTTAGAATATTGAGGCCCGGATGAAATCTTTTTCATTGCTGTTTTCATTGCCTTCACACAATGCCAAGCATCATTTTGGTTGAGCGTTTCAGTTTCTTCTCGGATGTATTTGTTTATTGACAAATTTCTATCGTGGCCATGAACACCGACTCGTACATCTTTATCCTTCATGTACTGGTAAATACGCACGGTTCCAACTTTTGCATGGCGCTGGGAAACGATATCATGAGCCTTTGTATTATGCTCACATTTTAAAACTTTGTGAGTTTTTTCTCCAATTGCTACAACACTGGTGTCTTTCGCATTTTTCCTCCATCCATGGCGTGCATCGGACATAATGTCTATTGAGTCAAGGTATTCATTTGAAGCAATTTCCTCTAATAAGGCAGTGTCAATACATTCATTATATTCCTCTTGTATATGTTGTTGGTGTTTATTGAAGAAGCTTGTTCTCTTTTCCTCATTTAACATGCCTATTCCGGAACCACTAACAAATCGTTTGTAGTCCGAAGGAAGTATACCACTGCATACAATACCATGGTTTACCCTGCTGTTTATTAGATACTCCTTTGGTGGTAAATAAGCAGTCGACGACCAAAACAAAACATGTGGTGTCTCCTTGTTTCCACATTTCAAATTGGTTTTAACTACATGTCCCTTTTGAATAAGTCTATTAGTACACAGGTAATGACTGCACTGCCTTGCATGCCATTCTATAACTTGAATGCAACGGCGAAATGAATCCTCAGCAATAAAGAAAATTTATGGTTAACATCAGTCTTCTTGGTCCTAATATATGTGCTTGGACACATTGCTGGCCCAGGATTTTCATCTTCATTGTAAAACCATTTTTCAAACAAAGCTTCAAGTACTTGTAAGTTTCCCATGGGCCTATTGTATTTCTTTGTAAGTTCATTTCGAATTTTAGTTAGTTTATCAAAAATGATATTTTTCTTTTCCTCACTTCCAGAAAGTTCAATTCTGAAATTAGGAGTTCTTTTGCAAATGTTCTGCTCATTCTCTGACATTTTCTCTTTGTTTCTTTATGAATACGTTGTGATGTATATAAATTATACAAATGAAATGGATACATGAAATGAGACCTAAGACATTCTTCCAGGAATATTCCATGAAATGGAATAGGGGAATTTGAATTTTTTCTTTTTATTTCATTATAGTAATATATTTGGCATAAATCATTAAAACATACTTTTTTAATGTTCATTATAAATGAATATACTTTTTTATTTTATTTAGTCATCTTCTTTTTTAATTTGAAAATCTTTAACCAACTGTTGCTAATTCCCCCCTACTTGACAGTTCCACACTAAAAGTCAGCAGGTGTATTATGATGCTGTGGAATGTTCCCGCCAAATATTTCTGATAGTAAGAAAAATATATGTATGTGTAATATAATAACTGAGGCTTACTTAAAGGTTATCATTTTAATTGAATAATATATTTAATTAATTTAGTAAATTTAGAAAAGATAAACATGTTTTATGTAAAGGGAAATTTATCAGCAAAATAAATTGTGATAAAAAGCAGAATTTCTTTGACAATTTATTCTCAAATAAAATACTTGTCCCAAGTTTACCCTAACTACTGAGTGTTCATTAAGATAAAGAGTCAGAGAGTGACATATATTTAAAAATAAAAAGGAGGAGACAGTAAATAATTCAAGATCTGTTTTGTCATTAGAAGTTACACAAGAG